TGTGTGTGTGTGTGTGTGTGTGTGTGTGTGTGTGCATGAGTTAAAGAGGATCGAGAGAATGATGCAGGTTCAAACGCCTTGTCTGTCTTTTGCACTCTTTTTCTGTTTTGCTGTTTCTCTCTTCCTGTGTGTCCGTGGGGAGAGCCCTATAGATTGTCTGGTTGCATAGTCCCCCCCCCCCCCTCTTCATGGCCAGGCCTTGTGTAGTATGATTAAATTGTCATTGTTTCGACAGTGTGTAAGGGCGGTTCAAAAAGACAAAAGGGGAAGAATACAGTAAAAAGGGATATGGAGAGATACTAACAGAGAGAGAAATGAATGACCATGCCGCCATCCGATTGACAGTGAAATATTCCTGGTCTCATCCTCCCATCATGCTTCATGTGTGTGCCTGATGGGGAGAGAATGACAGGCCAGCCCCCCCCCCACACCTCTCGCTTTAGTGTTTTATGTCTGGCTTTTTCTCTTTCGGTGTTACTGTGCGCTTGTAATCTACCGATTTTATCAAAGCCCCCGACAAGTAAACTCAACCAACACACAAATATAGCTAACACCAGTTAAACTTAATAAAACTTTAGTTCCAGCATAAACCGAAAAGTAACAGCGTGGGGGTGGGGGGGTTATAAAGTTAAAAGAGGATATTTCTAAAAAAGTATAACCAAATTGCTCAATAACTGATCATTTTCCCCAAACTTTGATAAATATATTTTCAAAACAGCATTTTTCTTAAAGTTAGGTTATCAATTTTACTTGACTATATTTAATGTGTCTTGCTATTTTAAAGAGGTTTTCTTTTATACAATTAAAACCTCTCGTAATGCAATTAAAATGCTACTCGTCTTATTAGCCCGCTTGTGTAAGATTTAGATAAGATTTGTATATGGAATGTAAGATGACGGTCCGTTTCCGTCGTGTTTTTGAGTGTGTGTGACTGTTTCTGTGCTTCTCAAATCCTCCCAGCAGTTCATATCAATCACATGTCCACACACAAGTTGTGCTCTTGACATTTTAAAACTAGTTGCGCATTTCATTTCCTTATTTTTATTGAAGTTCGGTGAAATATTTTATAATAAGCTTTTCAAAAGTATCAATGTGGTTTCAAATAGCGACACATTACGCCCTTTTTTTTTATTTTTTTTTTTACCAAACTGATAACGAACATACCTGACTGAATGAAACAGATTCAACTACTTTTCTTTTTTTAGAAGTGCTGAAATGGCCACAGCTTAATTTTTTTAACCTTTTCAGGTGTGTCGTGGCACTTTTTGTCCTCAGTAGGTGCGTTCCTCTACGCAGCTGAAATGCACTTTTCTTGACCTCGGCAGATAATTCATTTCCTCTTTATCCCCTTCTTCCCTCACCACTCAGCCCCCCACAAACACACTCCTCCCCTCCCTCCCCACATGCCCCTCCCTCGTGGAGCTGTCACCTTTCTGCAACCGCTCAGTCCCTATTAAGGCCGACAGCCCATCTGCCGCCTGCCCCGCTAACAGCTCCCGTCGCTAACGCTAAAGCGCACACATATCCACATCCACTCAGACACACAAAGGGCTGCAGCGCCGAACCCCACTTGCCCTGATGAACGTGCACACACAGGCCGGGAAACATAGTCACACACATTTCTATATTAGTATGTTTATGCACCCGGCATTTGGGATTATTACTTTAATTTCTACCGACACACACGAATGCATGCACACACACTATCATATTTTGACAAATGACAAAATATGTCATTATTTTATCACACATGAACATATTTTTAACGACTTCCTGACATAGTCTCAGGAATATCTAACAATGGAACATGTGCGTTCTTATCTCATCACCTTTATACCACAAGATTAGTAATACAAATAGAGCCACAGTCGTATCAAAATCAAAAGTAGAAAAGGGAAATATCAATTATTTTTTATTTTTCACGCTAACTGTTCTGTTTAGGCTAGAGGACATCAAACTGCCCCAACTAGAGGGGTAATTAGGTAGGGCAGTTGCAGCCCCATGTGTGTGTGTGTGTGTTGTGGCATTTTCTTCCTTCAGGGATAGGTGCGTTTTGCATTAGCAAGAATGGCAACTGTCTCATCAATCACTGCATCACCATGTCACACACACACACACACACACACACACACACACACACACACACACACACACACACACACACACACACACACACACACACACAGTGTCATGGTCATTCTGTTCACAGATGGGCCAGCAACACATGAGCGAGTCACTGAGCATCAGAAAGACACCCGCGATCTCCCTACTTTTACACAATTACAGAACCACACACACAATTCTAGCTTGTGTGTGTATTTGTGTGTGTGCTGGTGCTGGTGCTGCTTACATGTAGTGACAGGAGCGTGAAATAGGTCAGGTAGAATCACATAGGTTAATACTCTTCCCCTTTATTCTCTCCTTTTTACTTTGTACGCATATATAAATATTTATGACCTGAGCTATTTATGTTGTTGATGTTTAAGTACCCACATGGTTACGACTTAAAATCGTAAAATTTCACTTTTTTCTCTTGCAAGATATCTTTGCAGCGAATACAAAAACAAACAGCTGTTTAAAGCCTTAATACAATGATTGTCTGCTCATTTTAAGATGCCTTTTAGCCTAAATGTAATCTTCTTGAATGAATCAAATATCCGATTACCTTGCCATAAGGTGTAATGTAATAAAACTGAATCTCCCTTTCTAATCCCAAACTGGTTTAGTGTTTGGGGTTAATGCAAGTGGCAGCCTTGAGGGGATTTCGGAAAATTCAAAAAGCTTGAATACTAAAGATATTGTATACTAATAATATATATTTCATTTCACTTGTTAGATACTTTATATATAGTGATTTATCTCAGAACTTGGTCAACTCAGGTTTTATTTCCATATAACCAAATAAATAAGGGTGTAAAGCTAAATACCTAAGTAACTTTCCCCTTCCAATGTTCAATCTATTCCTTTTGCTTTGCTTTTCTTTACTTAGTGTGTTGTGATGGCCCGTGGAAGGACACACATTTCACGTATCAGCTTTTATGCAAGAGGAAAGGCAGGGATTCAAACTTACAATATCACGTATCAGTGGTTACTGGGTGTACCTTGGTCCGATCTGAACCCAGGACAAACCCCCCCCCCCCCAATAAAAAAGCAGTATTAAGTGTTGCCTGTCTATATAGCATTGTGACACCGCAACCAAAGCCAATAAGTGTCTGAAGCAGCAGCAGCAGCAGCAGATATCGATTCCTCCTATTCACCAGAGTGGAACTAAAACCTACATATTACACACCCTGGCCCTCCACCTTTCCCTGAGCCAACTCAGCTCTGATGGGGGGTGGGGGTGCGGGGGCTGTCAGACGAGTGATTGGTCTGTCTACCTGTCTGCCTACGTGGCCCTCACCTAAACAGCAACCCACACCGGGACAACATCACACACACTTAGGAACACACAGATGTCTGTGCGGTGTGTGTTTGTGGGGTAAACATGTGTCTATCAGTTTGTGACACATACCAACATCCTGCTCTGTTTACCGATACACAACGTCTGAGACAACACACACAGGAATGTGGTAATGACAGGAAAAATCCAGAAAAACTCAAACAACAAAAACTAATATAATATAAAGATAATTAATAAATATAGTTTTTATTTGTTGCTTAAAGAGCTCTTGACTTGATGTGAATTCATTACTGTGATTACTTTAAATAATAGATTATTCCATTTTGTAAATTTCAAATATATAATTCCTCCCTCATCGGGCACATCTTTTTAGGATAACCAGGCATAATTATTTTTGACACAATTGTTATGTAAAAAACCTAGAAATGCTCAAAATGCAAAGCACAGGTATGTCTCAAGCGTCACGGCCAGCGTCACTTTAGCATTATTTTAGAAGGATCACTTTAATGCTAGTTTTGTTCCCCACTCTGAATTGGTTTCAGTATTTTCTATATTTGCTCTGCCTGAAAGAAAGTTTTCTTCCCAACAGCCCCTCTCCACCCCGTGATAGTTTTCTTAAATGTAGGCCACCCAGCTAATTGGATTGTAAACCCTGCACGTTGTCCTCCTCTTTGACGTCAGCTATAAATGCGCCATGTTATTTAATTATTATATTTTTGGCGGTGCATGATTTTGATTCTGTTGCCTGCGGTGACCTTATCAACCCGGCGACAGCTCCTCCCATGACGACAGTGCCGGTCTTGATTGACAGATCGCAGTCCCTCCTACGGTGCTTTTACTTTTATATTCCCTCTGTCTGAAAGCCTTTATGCAAGGCTAAAACTGGTAAAACTCCTCTGACGTTACACACAGCCGGGGTGTGTTTCAATTAGCAGCATGACGCATCCGCCCCATCTGCTCACAGACGGGCGTATTAGACAGAAATGTGTTAACACATTCCTGGACAAAAGTCTTTTGCACAGGTTTAAAGTCAGAGCCCGTCCTCTCTGCCTCCGTCTGTCTGTCCGTCCGCCTGTCGTCGCTCTCAGCATGTCGGCCTGTGTGTCTGTTTCTCTACATGTCTTCTGACCTGTCTCTGGCTGCCCCTGCTTAATATTTGCAAACTTGTATACACCGATCTTCTGCATCTGTTTGTTATATCTGTTGCATACAGACAAGCCAAAGTTGTATTCTGAATGTGTGAGTTGTGTGTGCATTTGTGTAGTACATGACATATTCATATACCTCCCATTTGTTTTATTATTTTGTCTTTTTTTTATTATGTGTATTCTTCCTTCTATCCATGTTCATGTCCAACTTAAGAAAAGTATACATACTTCTGATTTTTTCAATTTGTATTTCATTATGTGCACTATTTCAATGTCCCTGATTAATTATTGGTATTCTCCTAATCTTTAGATTTGAATAACTAACTTAGTGTGTTTTATTTGATATGAGTTGAATATTGTGTGTGTCTCTGCTGCTCTTTATCATCTTCCGTATATATATTTCACTGGCTCAATTTTCACCGTTCCATCTCTCGTTTTGTCCCCGTCTGCAGAATGAACTTATCGAAGGGTCCATTGGTGAACAGCAGCAGTGACGATAACTCCAAGTCGAACTACAGTAAATGCGGCGCTGGCGCCTGGAGAATGCACCAAACTTACGATCAACTAGAGGCCAACCACATGAGAGACGCACATGCCCTCTACAACCCCAGGTAAGAACCAATGACGAGCAAAGTAAAACCACAAAGAAAGAAAGAGCAAAAATGTAAAAGAAAAGGAATCTATGAATCTTTTAGGTTCAGTTTTACACAAAAGCCACACTTGACCTCTATAAACCTCAGATGAAAGAGAAAGAAAAGGCAAGCACTTTGAGACATCAAAAGCCAGTGTTTTTAGTGGTCGTCTGTCTGTGTGTGTGTGTGTGTGTGTGTGTGTGTGTGTGTGTGTGTGTGTGTGTGTGTGTGTGTGTGTGTGTGTGTGTGTGTGTGTGTGTGTGCGTGTGCGTGTGCGTCTGTGTCTGTGTGTGTGTATGTCTGTGTGTTAAAGCGCTGAGGAGCTTTATTCTTCGATTTACAAAAACACAAGTTTTTCTCTTTTCTTATTTTTTATTGATTTATTACATACCTCAGATATTTTTCTATTATTTATTCCATGTAATAGGGCTATATAATTGAATTTACATTTTATGCTGCATTCACAATTTTATTAGATCGGTATTTAAAATAAGCTGCTTTGCTTTTGTGTCACCATTTGCAAAATAGGCAGACATTTTCTCAAAGACTTGAACAAAGCAGGTTAAGCATCTGCATTTCATCTGAATTTGTATATTTGAGTATGAGTCTCATGAGTGACTAATTTACAATGATTTGTAACCCAGTTTTCTATATTTATTAAGCATTATGTTAAAATGCTCTTAAAATTCCAGTTATTCCTAACACGTTCCACTCAAGGTCCACGGGAAATATTTTATTTTGAAAGAAAGGATTAATACTATTTTCTTTACTTTACTTGTAGCACTGTCTTTGTTTTGTTATATTTCCCCAGTATATATACTATATATATCACAAGAAAGTAACATTCTACTTCTGGCTCAAGGACACTTCAGTAGTGCAAATGTGAGGAGGCTTTAAATGATATCATTCGGTTGAAGGACAGTCACTATTACCATTATAGTAATCCCCCATCTGCATGTGCAGGAAAGCATGAAACGCTTATGCCAAAGGGGAAATGTACTTTAAAGTTCTCCAATGAAAACCAGTTCTAGGTCTGTGTTGTTGCAGGCAGGTGAAACTCAGGGATCCTATTGTCCATTTTTAGAACATAAACTGTAAATATGCTGCTTGTTTCATGTTTAAACACAGCGAATGCTTGACGCATGGAACGCAGATACACTTCCTCTCTCTTAGTATTCATCCTCCTTCTCCGCAACTTCCTTTCTCTGTCTTTTAATCATTCTAACTTTCTCTGGATACGAGACAGAGCCAGATTGCAAAACTGTAATTGTGAGTATTTGTTTTGTACATACTGAGTATAATGCAGGTTTATAGCACATGTGCTTATATTCTTTTTATATATTTTGTCACCAAAGATTAAGACCAAGCACTGCCAATGATTTGAAATCACATTTTAAAAAACCAGAGTAGGAATAAGTGTTTAGAAAACATACCAAAAAATGTGATCTGTTGGTCAAGTATTTGATGTGTTTAGACAGTGGCTGTTAGGATCTAATTTTAGTTTGTAACAAAACAACATTAGGCTGCATGATCTCGCTAACTGACATGATTACCATAATGAACATTACTATCATGAATAATGTTGTTATTGTTTTATTATTGCAGCCGATTATTGATTTATGCATTGTTAGGCTTTTGCAGAGCCCGATAATTGTGTGACCGTGTGTGTGTGTGTGTGTGTGTGTGTGTGTGTGTGTGTGTGTGTGTGTGTGTGTGTGTGTGTGTGTGTGTGTGTGTGTGTGTGTGTGTGTGTGGTGTGTGTGTGACAGGGTGTGGATGCACGAGCAAAACAGAGAAGCAAAAAAAGAGTGTGTTTGTGTGTGAGAAGTCGAAATAACAAGAGAGAGAGATATTGAGACCCGAAGAGAGGGCGAGGGGGAGCTCCGTAGGAGGGAGAGTGGTTTAGATTGACTGTCGCTGCGTGAGTTTTTATTTCTTATTTTATTCATTTTTCTCCCTGAAAACAACTATAATCATCGACACGCTGTGAGTCTATGGAGCTAAACTCAAACACAGCAACACACAGATTGTTTTCAATCTCTATTTCTCTGCCTTTAAACTGTGCGCACACCTTACACAATGCGCATGTAAAATCCAAGATTCAATTACCACGTATCATTTAAACGGCACACAGAATGACACGCAAACAAGATTTTCTTTATATTCAATTTTAAGTGGGTTTGTTTGTGTTTTCGTCTATCCCACTGCAATATGTAAGCAGACAAAGGGTAGAACATTTGATAAAGATTTCACAACAGCTGTAGCCTACTCGTTTGAAACCCTTGTGTGTTCTTAGTGCAAACTCACCAGTGCATGTATCCAACTAACAAGCCAACAAGCAGTTCAACAACCCTCCACAGATAGTAGCGGTTAAACAGGAAGTAGCATAGAGAGAGAAATAAACAGAGGAGTGTGAGGGCTGAAAAAGCAATTCAGTCTATTGATGAAATCGTTCTATTCATTTGACTCTGGAAATGTAAATGTCCTATTCCCCTTCTTACCCCATTCTTTAATTCGCTGTATTTTCTTTTCTGTCTTCCATCCCTCCTTCACTTTCCCTCCCGCCCAAAGCACTGCCGGTATCATCTAGATAGAATTGTGTGAGGTTTTCTCTTTCCCTTTTTCCCTCTTTTTGCTTATTGGACTGTGTATTCTTATCAGCGTCGAGAGCACAATGCTTGGTGTGATAGAAAGGTATTAGCCAACCCATGGTAGCTACATTGTCAGCACTTCTTCCTGCTCTGTCTCTATACCACTTCTCTTACCTCTCTGTGTCCCTCCTCTCTCCTCTTATTATTCTTTTCTGTTTATCCTCTTTTCCATGGAAATGTGGTTTTAAAAATATTGTTCGGATAGTGAGATTCTTCATTCTTCTACACCTACGTTCACTAAAGTTTGTCAGGGTCTAGTCAAATAAATTCATTTTGTACAAGTACAATTTTTAAGCTCAAAATCTTTGCTCTTGGCTAATTATTTTAAATTCTCTCGACGTAAATGTGCAGCAGGGAAAGCAACATGAACGATTAAGATAAAACCGAGTGACTTCTGAAGCTCTGAAAGGAAAAGCTGAATGTTAACATGACACCAAGACTGTCTGTTGTAAACCTCTCTTCAGCTCGCAGCTACTTACACTGCATCTCTTCTGTAACCCGGGGCGGGACAAAAAACAGTTAGGAGTTGTTTGAGGATCAGTTTGTGTTTATGGCTGCCATCTAGCGAGGCAGTCGTACAAAGATTGTATATAATAAAAGGGTGCAAGTGCACAGAAAGTAAAGGAGCACACAGCGAGCAGCACAGAGACACAGAGTGCGGCCCAGAGTAGTTGCTCTAATACGATGATTGTATGTTTGTCCCTGCCAGTTGTCAGGGCGCTGCATCAGCCCACCGCTCTAATGACAGCTTGTCATACTAAATGGCCCACCTTCCTTCAAAACACACAGAAAAAAAGATTCTCCTTCTTCCCTTCTTTCTTTTTTCCCCCCACTCATTCTGTTGCTTTCTCTCCACGCGTTCACGAGTCACTGTGCATTCAAAAGGTGAGAAATGAAATAGGAAAGAAGAGAAAGAGAAAATGACAGGGATCGAGCTGGAAATGGAGACAGGGGAAGGCGGTAATCTTTCTGGGTGTGTGTTCTGCCTCAGTAAGGGACAGGTAAATAGGCCTGCTGAATATTTGATGTCTGCAGGAACTAAACAGCCACTTTTGTCCCCTTGCTCTGGCTGCCAGGGAAACAGGGTCATATCTAGTTATGTCACAAACTCTGTTTTGTGTGGTCAATTATATCATAGGTGCTTATCCGAAAATGAAATGCTTGAAAACGACTTGACTTAAAGTTACTTAAAGAGCTTGAAAGAATTCGGGACATTTTTTAAGTGTCCATCATTAAGATATCAGTTCATGTTTGACATGTGAAACTAAATTGTTTTTTTGTGACCCACTTGTTATTGTTTTTTGTTTTTTGCCCTTACAAAAGGGACTTATATACACAGATACAAATGATACAGACAATATAGACAATACAAAAAGAAAAAGAAAAGACAAAGAAAGAAATACAAAATCCCTCCTCCTTCCCACCCATCTTGCCATTCCACAGAAAATCCTACCTGATGTTTGTTAGCAATTAAATCGTTTTTTGATTAAAATAAACCTTTAGTATGATGGTCTAGTCTTGCTAAAAAGAAATACATGTAATACTTGCTTCCGTTTTTTAATGAGCATGTTAGAATATGGTGCTCTTGTGCTGAAGTGGATTCAATGTACAGAATAGCAGGACATTCAAAACCCTTCTTTTGTAACAGAATGAAACAAAATTCTCAAATCTTATTACCACTGTTCTTTGTGATTAACTGAAATCATCTCGTAACACAATGCTCACGTCGTTGATCTTCTTGTGAAAATACAAAAGGGAAGAGAAACACACTCAAGCCTTTCCCTCTTTATACGAACCTCTTAAACACCTCAAAACATAAAGAATTGATAAAAACTGAGAGCCACCCCCTTCTCTCTCTCTCCACTCATCTGAAGAGCAGACAGGCACAATAAGACGGCTCTTTCAGTACTGAGCCGTCGTTACATAGCGCCATAATTATACTGATAACATACATACATGAATGCATTCAACCTCTCGCTCGGCACAGCGCACTGGCTGTGATTTCTTAATCTTCTTCTCGCATGTCTTCGTTTTTATTCTTTTTATTCCTCCCCCTTCGACTGCCATTATTTTTCATTTATAAGCGGAGAGAGGGAGACGGAGCTAAGAGGAGGAATGGAAAGGGAGAAGGAAAGAGAGATAGATGAGAATTTGAGAGAGAGAAAGAGGAAAAAAGCGCCTGAGATCTTTTGGCACTTAAACTCTTTCACTTAATGGCACTCAGAGGGATTGACGGTCGAAGGGAGGGGGCACAAAGGAGCATAAAGAGTGAAAAAGGAGAGATTAAATCATCACCATCACATCATCTACTTAAATGGCTCTACTCTTTTTTCTGCCACCACTGTATTTTCTCTCGCTATGCAAGAACACGGGCAACCCAGTGCAATGTGTCATCATCCTATCAGTATTTCCCACATTAACCTGTAATTCTCTTTTTCTTATTCCATCACCTAATATGTGTATCTGTCTGGATGTGTGCCCGAATCGTTCTTACCGTCCCCCTTAATTCCAAACTGAAAGCCTACCTTCGCATCAGATAAACAGATTTACAGACATTGGTGAATACCACAAAGCCACGATTAATGGAGTCACCAAATTAGAAGGACTTGCAGGAGGGGAGGGGGGGAAGTGGGGGTGGGAATGAAATATATGATGAAAAGGTGCGGAAAGGCCAAAGTATTGTTCATTATAAATGTCATGTCATTTTATGAAAGGAAAAATGGACTCTAAAGGAAAGCCCTGACTTTCTGGGAAACAGTATTCACACAGTGTAGGTTCGGCGGGAAGCTCTGTCCCATCCTGCTGCTCATCAAACACATTAAAGCACATTCAAAACCAAACCGGTCTGAAAGTACTGTCAGTCATTCGGCGATCATCATTCAGCGCAGCCGACCCGTCCCTCTCACTTTGCCTTGCTCTGTCTGTCTGTCTTTCTGCTTTGGCCGCCCCTCTCTCTACCTGTTTTCGCTGTCTATATCCATTCCCCGCTCCCCCACCCTTCGTTCTCCCGAGCGCCTGTCCATTCTCCACCGAGGCGCTGTCTGTGTTTTATGGGTCCCTGTAGAGCAGGGATCTTTTACAGGCCGACTGGACTTTAGAAGCCCCTCGTTTAGCAGCATCCTGCCTTAATTAAAAACCCCTTTTGTGCTTTCTGCCTTTAACAATGAAAGGGAGAGAAGGGAGGGAGGGCAGGGTTAGAGGGAAAGAGAGTGGTAATGTGAAGAGAAAAAGAGAGTGGGCAAGGATAGAGGAAGAGAGAGAGAGATGGCAGTGAATAGAAAGTGATAGGGAGACAGGCAGATAGATACTAAGGTAGACAAAGGGAGGGATGGAGAGATACGGACATAGAGAAGATAGCTGTTAATTACAACTGCCATTAACAAGACACCAGTCAGCCTCCTTAGGGAGAAGGGGAGAAGAGAGAGGGAGGGGAAAGGAAGGGATGCAGAGTAGAGGAAGGCAGCAAGAGAGAGGAGAGGAATACAGTCAAACTTCAGCACTGATTAGAAGAGATTTGTCTCTTTTAAAAAAACAAGTTTTGTATTGCATGGTTTACAGAAAACATGTGTGTGTGTGTGTGTGTGTGTGTGTGTGTGTGTGTGTGTGTGTGTGTGTGTGTGTGTGTGTGTGTGTGTGTGTGTGTGTGTGTGTGTGTGGCTGTCTTTGGGATGATTGAGCAGCAGAGAGGCTGCTTACTGATTACCTTCATGTAGAACAAGCTGCTATTGACTGGAAAGTGACGGATGACCGTCGTCCCCCGAGCTTGTGTTTGTGGGAATGTGTGGTACTATAGGTGCTTCGCTGCTACTCTATTTTACACATGGCTTCCCTAATGAACAAGAATCTATTTAGTTGTAAAATGTAGCTCTCTTACTCTTGTTTATTTTCTTGCCCCTTGTTTTTCCCTCTACAAAGCTCCCTCTGTAATTCCTTATAAGGAAAGAAAAACAAATGTGATGGATGGATTGTGTTTGAACATGTTTGTGTGTCATTTATACAACTTGGCCCGGCTCAGTGAAAGAATACGAATCCATCATTGGAAGTGACAGTGAGGAAATACAACAACATTAGAACAAATGATTTCTGTAATTGGACTTTCAAGCATTGCCTTTACTGTATCTATGTTTCTTCTCCTCTGGCTGTGCCTTTCCTCTCACCCTTTCACTCTTTTCTTTATAAGTATCCATCATTCTTCTGACATTTTACACGTGACATTCTCTTGTAATAATATCATATTCTTCTCTTTCTTCTTCTTTGTACACCTGTCTCTCTCCCTCAGGCTTCTCTGCAGAATGTCCAGTAAGGAGCGCCACCTTGAGTCCAACTGTCCGTCCTCTTACATAAAGACTGAGCCGTCTAGTCCTGCCTCCCTGACTGACAGCCTAAACCATCACTCCCCTGGTGGCTCCAGCGACGCCTCAGGTTCCTATTCGTCCACAATGAACGGCCACCCCAACGGCTTAGACTCCCCGAGTCTGTACGGCTCCAACGCAGGGTCCCTGGGTCCCGCCGGCGGCCCCGGATCAAAGCGCTACGAGGATTGTTCATCCACTATTGGGGAAGATTCACAGATTAAGTGCGAGTACATGTTGAATTCCATGCCCAAGAGGCTGTGTCTGGTCTGCGGGGACATTGCGTCAGGGTACCACTATGGAGTGGCATCCTGTGAGGCGTGCAAGGCCTTCTTCAAACGCACCATCCAAGGTTGGCTTCTATTTCGACTTTCTGCCTTTAGTTATCTCTATGTTGGTCTGTGTACATTGGTTGCAAATGATGCGAGTCAGAAGTTAAAGGTGAGGAAAGATAAAAGTCAATGGGCTCCTTAAAAAGCCTCAACCCTTTTAGATAAGTATTCCATACAAAGCACCTAAAACATAATCTATGATGAAATGAAATGCACAAGGACACAACATGCATTCTATCACACACACACACACACACACCTGAGCCATTTTGCTAGATCCAGGACATATGATAAAAGCCCCAGGCCAGATGTGAACCCAGATTTTTATTTGGTTCATGTTTCTGCTAAGTGAGCCACCACAGTCTATTTTTCTCTCACCTTCAACATTTTTCTTTTCTTTCGACACGCATGCACCCACACTCACATATAAGCATCCAATCAGGTTCATGCATACACACCAACTCCCAGAAACGCCCCACTTTCTCCGTCAACCTTGAACTCTTCTCTTCAACAGCAAAGAGTAATTTCCAGGTTGTGTTTGCATTCCCAGATCTAGCTGCTTATTACAGTGTTAGCTATAAGCCTAGTAGTATCAGAGGAAGGTCAGAGGTTATGTCTAGGGGTCAGGAGTTCAGGTTAGGGGTTAGAGGAGAGAAGGGGTAGAGCAGTAATCCACATGATGAGAACAGTGCCAGGAATTAGGCTCAGTAATCCTTTGCTCATCTCTTGTTGGTGCTAGAAGTGTTCCAGGGTGTGCTAAGGTATGTTGGCCATCCAGTTTTGAGGATATTGAATTCATACTCAACTTTCAGTTTGATCAATGGAATGTCCTTCATTTACCCTTGTAAGCACTGGACAGGTCAGTCTTTCAGATAACCAATTAGCCATAAAGCAAGCCAGTAAATCAGCCATTTGTTCATTAATCCAGCAAGTTCAAAAGATGACTGAACCATCTTGGTTTCACATGATTTATACAACATGTGGAATATTATCTACTATATGGTGCATAGAATATGAAAACATTGAATTGGTGAATTAATTAATTGGGCTTTATAATGATTTTTGTTTTACTTATTTGGGCCGGATTAGCCTTTTTGGGAGAGTGACAGTGTTGAAAGCGTGAGATAGAGGGGATGACATGCACAAAGAGAGCAGACCTGTTTTGAACCTGAGTTTGCAGCAGCAGGGACTGAACCCCAGCTCTAACCCCTAAAATATATGTTTCAAAACTGTTGGACTATCACTGCCTTTCTATGGCACAAGTCCATTTGTTACTTCTGAAGACATTATTCCTAACAAAACAGGTGATGAATGTATATAATCTGATTTATTAAGAAGCTAAGCCCTGTAACTGTTGGTATAGTGATATGTGTTAGCCACTGCTTCTGTGCACGAGCAAGTATTTAGAGCAGCAGGATGGTAGAACTACAGTGGCCATCTATACTTTATAGATTATTTTTAACGGGATTTGGAGGAAAAATAAATAATATCACAAGACTTTAATAACCCATTAGACATGGATCCATAAAGCTGTTTTAAGTATGCAGGGAAAGTCATCACATTTTATATTAGGACCAAAATTGGTGGTTAACCCAATCTGAATGATAAACCTTTAAAGACTGTTTGTTGAGTAATAATCTTCAATGATTCGTCCAAGTTATTCAAAGTAACTAATAGGCCCCGTTAGTCTTTAGGGCCACTCTCTTGTCAGTCAGTATGCCACTGCAATAACCAAGCTACCAGTCAGCCAGGCGCTATTGATTCATGGAGTCAGTCGGTCCGTCAGTCATATCGTACAGGATTCATCTATCGGCCTTTCCATCCATCCACCTATCTGTCGCTGCTTCCTTTGCCTCCGATAAGCTGCTTTCCTAGTAAAGCCCCAGAGAGAGAGGGGGAGACAGGGAGATGTTCAGGGGTGGAAGTCTTACATCCACTATGTGGTCGTCGTCACTACCTAGAGATGACCTGTGTGTGTTTATTATGGGATGAGATCAGGACACAGTGCAATCCTCACAAAGAGATTGGAACACACACATAGAGAGATAAAGTCACGCACGGCAAGAAACTCATAGAAGCACATCCACACACCAACACACATCAATAGACAGACACACACATGACCTTGTGTGTGTAGTGTTAACCCTTAATTCCTCCGTCATCCCAGTATGATAGTTGACCAATTCCATATGTCTCATTTCATTTAGGGCTTGTTTAAGGTTACATAGGTGAGGATACAGTAAAAGATTAAATACCAAGAGCCCAGCAAATGTATGAATACGATCCCATGTTGACAGAAGGGAACTCTTGGGAGTATGACCTTCAAAAGATTCAAACCAATTCCCCGTCCACTGTCGCGCTTTCTCATTTGACTTCATGTGTAATCTTAACTTCCCCTGTAGTGGACATGCTGCAGCTCAGGCAGGTCAGAGTGAAAGGTTATGGGTCAAGACTTGCCTATATAGTCATGGGACTTTTGTCACGAAAGGTTGTGACAAATGACAACAGTTTGGTGAACACAATTGCAGGAAGCAACATTAAAAGTGGAGCCATCAGATCCACTGGAAAGTTAGCAGAGAGGTAAATAGTGTATAATTAAAATAAATCTAAAACATTCCTTTATGGCTCAGACGGCTAGATCGCATCCAATATTTTGCATTCATTACAACAAATGTAAACTTTTACCCAATAACTCTACAAATCATTTCCTAAACTTGACTTGACACAACTAGAATGTATTAAGTAAATCTGTTAATACATTTCTTATTTTGTTTTTAAAGTAGCTCACGTTCTTTCATGATTTGTGCTACAGACTTACTGTTGATATTTGGGGATTTTTTGGGATGCAGCATGAGCACTCTTGAATCCAACCGAGCAAATGGGTCATGACATTATCTTTGGCTGCCACACAAGCCAAACTCATCCATAGATGGTGTCTGTGTGTGTTACCCCGTGTCTGTGTGTGGGCTCCTGCTCATCCACGTAAATGAGCACAGGTTTATGTGTACGTATGTGCACATATGCCTGTGTTTATGCACGCTTGTGTGTTAGTGTGTGTATCTTGGCTGGAAAGCAGGGCCAGCCTCAGATGGGCAGCAGCAGACATATTGGTATGTTTCAACCCATTAGCCAATAAAACCGCAGGTAATCACCAAAAAAACACCTCCAGCTGGACAGGGAGGAGAGCATGGGGCGGGAGAGGAGATGAGATGAGAGGAGAGGAGAGGAGAGGAAGAGAGAGAAAGAAGAGGAAGTGTGTATTCTAGTTTGAATAAACAACAAGTTAAAACAAGGAATGAGGAAAAGAGGGGAGAAGAGGGTGGGTGGACTGGGCACACAAATGTAGGAAGGACTTAGAGGTATGTGTGTGTGCATGTGTGTGTCGCAGCATGGAGGAAGTGGCTCTGGCAGCTGCTGTTTCTGTGGCGTTAGTCCAGCGACACCTGACAACCTGCATCTATCACTCCCTTATTGAGAGAGAGGGATAAAGGGGAGTGAGGGGGAGGAGGGCAAAGTGTGAGAGGGGTAGAGGTAGGATGAAATGGAAAGACAGTACAAAAAAGTGGATGAGAGCCACAATGATAAAGATGAAAAAGGTAAACAGTGCAGAGGAATTGTGGTTGAGATCGAATAAAAAAGGGTTATGTTCATACTTGCCGTAACAAAATAAATACAGTTTTTATAAGGACCATTTTAAATTCTTAAGTCAATGTACTGAGATAAGCAAAGGAGGTGAGAGGCTGAACAAGAAAAAGGCAAAGAGAACAGCAGGCAGAAAGCACAGTGTGTACGTTGGTGGCAATTTTCATGCGGCAGGAAGACTTACACACACACTCAAAGGACATTGTAGGGGATTTGAGGCCCTCATATATCCCCCTTGCTCATACCAACACATACACACACACACACACACACACACACACACACACACACACACACACACACACACACATACAAACTCACACGTTATACATAAGATCCTCCAAGAACCCTTCTGCTCTAAGCCCACCTCAGTGCACAATAAGACACATAAAGAGATACAAAGAGAGGGCCATGACATTCGGATGTAAACCCTTCTTGTCTAATTCCTGCAACACATAGTCCTGTTTCACTCATTCATAAGGGCTTTTGATGTAAGCCCAGTACCCAACCCTGTTGAGTTGAGGTACTGTCAATTCAAATTTGACTAACAGTGTTATAAGACAAATAATAAGCATGATCATTATCATTATCGACTATTGAGGAGCGCAGTAGCACTCAGCATGTGAAGATGTTGAAAACGGTTTCAGTGAGAGGTTAAACACATTTAGCTTTAGTGCTACCTGCCCCATAAGTGGCTCTTTACTGCAGTTTTCCATTTAGCAGCGCTTGCCTGTTTAGCCTTGCACTAACAAGGCCTTTTACCGACCACCCATTAACCCACGCAAATTCTGTGTCATTAGCACATTTAGCCTCGTGCTAGGTAAGTGTCCCTCTTAATTGCTGAATTAATCTGCACCTCCTGTATCATCAGCATGTAAAGGTTAAGTATTAGCTAACTAGTCCTATTAGTTGTGTCCATTAGACTAAAAGGGACCCCAAGTATTTAGCATGTTTAGCCTTTACTTTAACTAAGAAGGCCTATTAATGAGAATCTTGTTATCCATTAGGAAGTGTTCGCCATTTACCCTTTTCCCTAGCTAACTAGCCCCCTTAATCAGCCCAGTAATGAGAAAGCATCCTCTCCACAGCAGCAGTCAATAGCAATCACTGTTTACTCTCTTTCAGTGGGAGATGCATTGGCTTGCTAGTAGTCATGTGGGCATGGGAGGAAGGGAACAATACTGTTGTTTTTTTGGTATTTAGTTCCTAACACAGTTCCTAGATTAAACAACTTCCCTGAACAAAGAAACCTGTTTGAGAAATTCAGCAATAGTCCTAACAAATCTATAACTGTGCTTGGCTTTGAACCGCGAGGAAGCAAATAACTAAGTAGAGGAAATAAGCAGAACAGGAGGCTGAGTGAAGCTGAAAATAAGAAAACAAAACAACAGAATGAAACAGAGTAAAACCAAAGGAGGAAAACAGGTGGCACAATGTAGAGCGTTGAAAATAGATCTCATTAAGAAATGTGAAAACAGTTTTGAAATATAGTGGAGACATGGAACTAAGAACAAGGATATAGAAAAGTTGAGGAAGAAATAGTGAGGCTGTGGACGGAAAAGTTAAAGTGTTATTTATCCTTTGTTTCTGTTTGCGAGGGTTGTGAAGTTAATAGGCTTACATCAGCTCATAATCTTAACCTCAGCGCTTCATCAGTGTAAGTGAGTGAACTGCAGCTAGTCACGCAACCTAAGCTTTCTGTAGCACGCATGCACATACAGTTCATACTCATGTCACACACACACACTCACACTCACACACACAACTTTCTCTATTCAGTCCAATGTAAAATGATAACTTTAGGGGTTAAAGTGTCACTGAAACGTCAAAACAACAGTCTGATATTGATGAAACATAATCCATACACAAGATATCAGATTGCTGCTTATGCTGTTAACTTTGGTTTTAGTGTCTGGGCTGTTTGTAGCCACCATAGAAACAAAAGGACTTCTTAAAGTCATAGCAGGTGAAGACCAAAGTAGCTTAGTAAATGATCATAGAAGTACATGTTATTGTATTTGCCTGTGTGTCTCTGTATATCTTTTTACAACTCTAGATTTGTCTTCCTCTCTTAAAAAATGAATCTAGATCCTTGTTACCATCTTTGTGCAGCAGGAAGTGTCTTCAAGGTTGTTAGCCCACCTGAAATATCCATCTAAAATGAAACCCTTTCTCTGTGTTCCTCCAACATGTTTACATACAGGCAACATAGAGTACAGCTGTCCAGCCACCAACGAGTGCGAGATCACCAAGAGGAGACGCAAGTCGTGCCAGGCCTGCCGCTTCATGAAGTGTCTGAACGTGGGCATGCTGAGGGAGGGTAAGGGAAAAGGTCTCTTCCTTATCTTTCTCTGTTAACTGTGCTACATGTAGCATTTTAAGGCCTGAGAAAATACTCAGAGATACAGTTGTATCGATCAAAACTTTGAAAACTTCATGGCACCGGTGAGGTAAATGCAAAAAAATGATGGAGAAAATAAATTCAAATCTGTTAAGATTAAAGTATTAGATACAAAGGATCAATGGGGAAGCAATGGGGTTTATGGGAAATGTGGTTTGTTTGGGCAACACAAGAACAGCAATGTGATAAATAAATGTAAACATGGTGTCTTGTTTTACAATAAATATACCATAATACATCAAAGTATGACAATGGAATATGGATGTTGAACAATGCTACATGTATCACTTCTAAACAATTGTTAATACTTCTTATATACATTATACTGTAATCTATTGCTTTTGGCATCATGACACAAGTACCATTTTACAACTTTGAGTCTTTTGGTATCCTCATAAGTGTTCATAGCTTTGGTTTGCCTGTTTCATTTTCACTTTTCATTTTCACTGTGCATGTTAATCTCTGACGTCCACATACAGAAGTTATAGTTTCTGAGGCCAACACAGAAAGTCCTACACCCTTGCCTTCCCTAAATGAGATACACATTACAGGATCATTGCTACACTCACAGTGAGTGTTGCACAGGGTTGAGGAAAAGTAAACAGAGAAAAAGAGACATTATCTGCCCCCACACCACTTTGATTAAATACACTCACCCTCTCATTTTCACACTCCCTCGTTGCCTGTGTCTCTTTCTCTCCCTCTTGTCTGCCAACCTCTGACCTTTCTACTCCCACTGCACTTCCAACGATGAAAAGAGGGAGAGGAGTGGCAAGGGATGAAGAGAAGGGCCGATTGAGAGAGAGAGAGAGAGGAATAGTGGGAGGGGGGAAGGTAGGAGAAATCTAGGGGGAGGGAGGGAGAGAGAGGCGATTGATTTATAGGAGCAGAGGAGAGGGACCAGGGGAGGATGAGAGGCAGGGGGAGGATGGTTGAATGAAGCAGAAAGTGTGTGAGAAAGAGAAGGGAGAAGAGAGGAGGGTCAAGGTTGTAATTGATGGGAGACCTGGCCTACGCCCCCTTCCTCACAGTGGTCAGGGAGCGTGCCAGCCCTCCCTCCATCCATTCCTGTCTCCATGTCCCCCTCCGATGCTCCCACGCAGTGTACTGTACTGTTTCTGTGGCCTCTCTTGTGCTCTTAATACACACATTCTCCTCTTCATTTGCTGTTCGCTCCATCCTGTTAGCACCATGACACTCAAACAGACCTGAGGCTGCTCTTCCAGTTTGATGTCAATAGTGGTACATTAAAAAAACAACAGCAAACAAATATATTTTATAAAACTAATCACTATTCTGGAGTTTGTCCCTGTTTTCTAAATGTTCCCATTCACAAATTGTTGAAGATACAGTAAACCTCAGAGCTTTACTAAACTCACTCAAAAACCTGACAAATATTGAATTTCCTCTAACAGCCACAGTTTTCACTGCAAAAAAACATGCTCTAAACTGCTACCTCTCTCTTTTGCACACACACAGACAGAATACACACACACACTTCCAACAAGCTGCTGTCGTAGCTATTGTTCTCCCAGTTGATCTGACATAGGCAGAACCCATGTCTCCTCTCCTGTTTTGTCTCGCATACAGTATGTGTGTGTGGCCACAAATACCCACAAACATTATGTATTATTGGCAGCTCTGACAGTCGCACAGTTTACACAGCACACACTGCATCCTTCTGCTGCACACAGAAACCACATTACCCTTGTCAATAAACTCTTAAAAAGCCATCATTTGCAAGAAATTCACTTTTTTTATATTACTTTTTTTTTTTTACAAATTATGCTATTGATTTTTAACTCTTAGGGCTGTGGTTTGCCCATTAATCCAATATGGGAGTAAAACTATGATGCCTCTTGTCGCCCTGCTCAACACACACACACACACACACACACACACACACACACACACACACACACACACACACACACACACACACACACACACACACACACACACACACACAGCTCATGCCAACTTTGGCCATGCTCCCCACGGCCTCTAAGACCTAATGAGTGAGATCGGGTGGAAGGCCCCAGTCTGTGTAAGTGTTGGTGCTGGTGTGTGTGTGTGTGTGTGTGTGTGTGTGTGTGTGTGTGTGTGTGTGTGTGTGTGTGTGTACAGCTGGCAGTGTGCGTCATGACTCTCTTCATAGCTCAACAGTCCTGCTGCCCAAATCTTATTGCTGCACACACATATAGCAATACAATCAAGATGACTGACTGAAAATATCAGTCATTGCAAATGTTATAAGATTAAATGAAATGACAAGGAAAACAGTGTGCGGGCCAACAGATGATTGGTTAATGAATAGTGCAGATGAAATAACAAGAGATAGGAAGGAGAGGATGAAAATAGAGAAAGACTAGCGGAGGAGAGAGCGAGTGATGGGAGGAGGGAGGAAACAAGAGGACAGGATGGAGAAACAGAGGAGGGGAGTGCCAGACAACTGGTGGCGTCTGGTGTTCTCCCATGGGAAACTTGTAGCTAAATGTGGCCCTGTAGCGTCTGTCCTGAGTGAGTGTTTGTGTGTGTGACTCTCATCTGGTTGCATCCCAGCTAGAAAAGAGCGATAATGGAAACAGTGTGACGAGAGATCTGCCTAACTGGTTCGCTTTCTTTCTGTTTGTCTTGAGAGAAGAGGAATAGCAATTTATTTAACAAAAGATTGTATCACATTTGGAAAGTAACTTTGAGTTAAACAACAAAAAGACTTCTGATTGTTAAAATGACATATGTTTCTCAGGAACATATTATAACTGCGCAAGTTTGTTCGCTAATGTTGCCAATATTTATTTATTTTTAAATGGTGATAATAAACAGTGGCCTAATCTCCAAAATGTTGAATGTACAGTCGTTGTTTAAGTGTATTGGTGTATTTAATAAGCACAGCCTTTAAATAAATATGTGGAAAAGGCAATATTTTAAAGACCTCACATGGTCACACACATGGCTACATTCGCACACACACATATTCACACACCAGTGACAGCCACCTGCCCGCTGCCTCAGGCAGAGCTGTTCAGATCTGTTCTGGTCTAAACAAACGTCACTGCAGGACACCACGCACACTCTCCTCTTAACCTCCCCTCCACCCTTTTTAGTTCATGCTCTCTTTATTTTTTCTTTCTTTCTCTAAGATCGTTTTTAAGATTTTTTGCCAGATTACATCACCGACTTAAAAAACAATTAGCTGAAGCTGATCTAAATATACCAGATACACGAAAAATTCTCCATATTCCGGTTATTCTTCAGCTTTAGATGCACATAGCCTTTTTCTCATGCTATTTCTGCTTCTTCTTCACATGCAGACAATTTATAGACACACACACACACACACACACACACACACACACACACACACACACACACACACACACACACACACACATACACATTAGATTTAAATGGTTCTGTTGTCTTACCCAATCTATTTGCCCATCAGTTGTTAAACCCACATAGGAAAACCCTTTATGTTATTACATCAACACTGGGGTATCACAGAAACACCTATATACACACACACACACACACACACACACACACACACACACACACACACACACACACACACACACACACACACACACACACACACACACAAGGTGATAACCTGGTCTAAGGTGCAAAAGAGACTTCAACCCTGTTACGACTTCAATTACCATAAAACTGCACTCTCTCCCTCTCCTCGCCCTGTCTCTTTAAATGCTCCCGTCCTCTCGTGCTTTTTGTCATCCCTTTTTCTCTTAGCTGTGATCAACAGAAATCTATCATTTTATTTGTCTTCCTACTCCTCTCTCCACTCAATCCTTCACTCCTCTTCTCGCCCTCTTTCATCCTCTCATTCGCTTATCATATCATTGACCATCTGAAATCAATCCATTTTCTCTCGTCTTTCCTCTTTACATCTCTCTTCTATCTTTCGTTTTTCATGCTCGCAGCTTCTCTTTTCAAAAGCACTTAGGTGTCAAAGGCATTTCCCTCGCAATCCCTCAACTGTTCAAACACACACGTGTGCGCTGACACAGAGTGACGCCAGCGCGGGGTAAAATCTATGCTGATGTGATCAGTGCAGGTCGTGCTATTGACAGACAACAATATTCCCACGATAGGAAAGACTCACCTTCATCACTGTCACTGTGTGTGTGTGCAAGAGTGTGTGTACAGCTTGAGACAACAGTGTTAAAAAAAACATGTATGTAAAATATATAATAATGATTATATGGTATCAAATACAGTTTATCTGCTGTATAACGTAACATCAAAACAGGAACATTTTGATATTTGTGTGTGTGTGTGTGTGTGTGTGTGTGTGTGTGTGTGTGTGTGTGTGTGTGTGTGTGTGTGTGTGTGTGTGTGTGTGTGTGTGTGTGTGTGTGTGTGTGTGTGTGTGTGGTAAGTGACTAAGTGGAGGTGTGCTTTTAGTTGACATAATAATTAAAGTATATAATTAAGGCGTATAACCTCTGTGGATTTCATCTTTTCTTTCCCTTTCTCTTATTATTCTATTCCTATCTCATTTCCTTTCATCCTCCCTCACTTCATCCCTTCTTTTCTCTCTCATTTCATTTCACTTTTGTCTCATTCTTCTTTTGTTTACAAGCCCATCCATTACTCACCTCTCCCCTTCTCCACTTATTTCACAACCTGTGCGCTACTCCTCTCTCCTGTCCTCTTTTTTTACTACACTTTCTTTTATCATAATCTTCCATTAATGCCTTTTTTCATTTTTATCTACATTTTATTTCTTTTCTCTCGCTCTTTTATTCCATTTCTTACCCATTCCCTGTTCAATTATTCTGTACTTCACTTGCCTTTTCTTTTCGCTTTACATTTTTTTCCCTCATCCTTACATTTCCTCTCCCCCCAACTCCATTTCCTCTCCTTTCCTCACTCCTTCCCTCCTCTCCTCTCTTGCCCATTCTTTATGACTTGAAGGCTCATTTGTTAAGAAGAGGTAGAGCACTCTCACTCTCCCCCTAGCCTCCTCCTGTCCTTTTTTGTGGGCTTTGGAAATATAATTTTCAATTTTTAATTTGATTCATTTAGATTTGATCATTAATCAGTGCTGAGAGAGAGTTAATTTGGTGGGAAATAGATGAGGTAGTTAGAGAGGGCTCTTTATAAAGTGAGCTCAGCTCAGCACTGAGTCTTTCAGGTGCAAGGAAAAGAGAAAGTGAAAAATTGAGAGTCTGCTTGTGTGTGTGTGTGTGTGTGTGTGTGTGTGTGGGGTAAATGTGTGTGCAATAGACATTAATAAGAGTAAAATTGCTGAGTGTCAATAACTACCAATGTTATGATTATACTTTACATTGGAAATCAGTTGAATGATTATGACACGAAGGCAACATGTAATACATTCACAAGTGATGCTACAATACTGATATGGAATTAGTTTTTTCAATGTTGTATTGCTGTATTTAGGATGAATCTTGAAGCCTTTTTTTATTATTATTATTATTATATTAATCCACCTCATTCAAATATCCACCTGCTTTCTCTCTGTCTCCCTCTCCTCTTCTGACCAACCACTGACACAGGCAGTGAGTGAGCAAGCTGCTTGTCGGGGCTTACCCAAACACAACATTGGGGATGTGGGTTAGAGAAATGTTGTCTAAATGTGTGTGTGTTTGTGAGAGAGAAGTGAAAGAGTGTGTTTGAATGTGTGAGTGCGTACGACCCCCTGGTGTTAAGAGTTTCTTGACCGTTTGCTGACACTGTCCCCCCCACTGTACCTGGACTGTCAGCCCTTCTGTCTACCTATTTTGGTCTCAAGCACGAACACACACACACTCACTCACACACACTCACACACACTCACACACACACACACACACACGCACACACACACACAGATGCATGTCGTGTTCAGTTCACTGGGTTGACTGCTGCCTTGGTCAGTAAGAGCTTTCTAAATGACTACATTACCATAAAATAAATGAGTACACTGTAAGATGGTTTGAATAAAAGCGTGAATCTGTTAAAACACAAATAAAACAGGGACACTCGTGCTCTCACAAATGCCAACAAAATGCACAAACATGCTCACTGACATTTTTTGTCTTTGCTGCCAATAGGATGTCTTTCTGTTAAATCTCTAAGGTGTGTTGTCTTCGTCATTGTCAGCACATTTTTCAGAGGATTTAAATCTCTCTGTGTTAGCAAATCTCTCTCTTGCTCGCTCTCTCTTTTTGCCCCCTCCTCTTCCTCCTTTCTCTGTCTGTCTATACATTTAGTGCTTACTGTTTTTAATGGATGTGCTTTGGGAGACCTATGGGGAAGCATTAAACAGAAAGTGTTATCTATATTTTTTGGTCTAATTTTCAGATCTTTATCTGTTGATGAAGGAGATGAAACACTATTGAGCCTTGTTTTTTTTCTGAATGGTATATACAAAAAATGGTGTTAGCTTGTAACATTTGATAGCCCTTTTTCGTTCCTCCTCTCCTCTCCTCCTCCAGGGTACATGACACCTCTGTCTTCCTTATCCATCTTTAAGTGGTAACCACGGTAACATCCAATCCCTTGAGAGATAGGCCTAATTAAATTAGGACTCCTTTGTGTCAATTAATTAACGAGACAGAGAGAGAGACAGCAACAGAGAGACTGAGATTGGGCGAGAGAGAGAGAGAGAGAGACTGAGATTGGGCGAGAGAGAGAGAGACTGAGATTGGGCGAGAGAGAGAGAGAGAGACTTTTACTCAAATGGTGCTTCTATAAATTAGTTAGTTGTAGAACAAAAGAGGCAAGCGAGTTTAACAAGCTTGACGATAACATAAAAGTGCCTGCATGCGTAACACACACATGTATGCACTGCAGAAACAGAACAGCTATCACCACTTCACTCCCAGACATATTATGTAATCTCATTTCCTCTCTTTTTATTATCTTTATTTACATTCCTTGTATTCTTGTTAACCAATCAAAAGAGTTAAAAAGTCATGCACAGTGTTTTGATACACGTTTTCTGTCCCTTCTTGCAGGTGTTCGTCTGGACAGGGTTCGTGGCGGGAGACAGAAGTATAAACGCCGGATAGATGCGGACAACAGTCCATACCTGAACCCACAGCTGGCTCTGCCTCCCAAGAAGCAATGTAAGAGCACACACACTCACTCAGACTGGTAGCAGTATATGTGACGGCCTTTTTCTCTCCTAGGGTTGAGCAGTGATTCTCAAGGACAGACATTTGCATACTGTCCTTGGTGCATAGTAACTCATCCTCTACAAATTGACATTTGTGCTACAGTGACAATAGCATCTGATAAAGTGTGTAGTGGGAACAATGGAGGACATACCATTGACAGTGCTTAAGGAAAATCATCCCTAGAAATCAACAGAAAAGCTTTCAATTATAGCACATTGTAGCAAGAGTTGATCAGAAGGCAGAAGTACACAAGTGCCTTTCCATCAGTCTTTATACTAATTGAGACAGTTGGACATTAAAACAGAATCAAGCACAGACACACACACACACACACACACACACACACACACACACACACACACACACACACACACACACACACACACACACACACACACACACACACACACAAATAGACTCAGGGTAGTGAGAAGCCCATCTGTTTGGGACCAAGTTTATCTCCCTGTCTCTGCTGCTAGCAGTTTGCGGTCATAATATTTTATACGTGTAATATTTCACTATAAAGGTAGTCATTTAGGTCCGGCTGGATTGGCTGCGTTTTTTAAAGAATGGAACCACTGCCAAAACACGATGATTGGAAAAATTAACAAGGGAGAGAGTGAGTGAGAGTAACGGGGGAACAGGTGGAGACAGAGGGAGAGACTGAGCCTAAATGAGAAGGCTTCTCAGAGAGAGAGGGAGGAAGGGAGAGAGACGAAGGGAACAGCCAGAACCCTAATCCGGATTAAATCCAATCTGGCAACCACATCAAACTAGAGTTAGCTCTTTAGCTAAGCGTCTGCTCACACACATGACACACACACGCACACACATGTATACACACACATACACACACACACATACACGCACAGTGCAGATTGAGCAGTGTTTGGCAGCTTGGTCCCCAAAGCCCATTTTGCTTAAAGCTGGAGCATATTCTGCTTTAGGCCAATATGCTGAATGGCTCCAACACAGCTTAACGGGACTTCTGCACTACTAATCATTGAAATGATTGGATAATATGAGTGTGTGTACACTATGCGTGTGTGTTTGCATCTATAGAGCATTGGTGTGCTCCAGCTAACTAGATGACTTCATTAAACTAGTCTCTCGTCCTGTTATTATATTAACAAGCTTTTTTCATGTAAGATAAATAGTTTTAAAATGAGTTATTTACTAGATTCACCAGTGGGTACTCTAAATATTTATTTAGGATTTCATTTATTTTTATATATTTTCCTAAATGTATGTATGGACACAAATCTCTCAGTGAGCTGAAAACAAAAACTATAGCGTTGATATAGACTTCCTGGGTCTCTCTTGTTCTTTTTCTCTCACACATAGTCAATACACACAAAAAAAAAAAAAAAAAATCTTTCTGTCTCACTCAGATACACGCACACAGCCCATCTATCTGTAGCCCAATCCCCAGCCTCAGCGTCCCCATTGATTGTGTGAGAACAGAACAATAGCCCAGGGTTTGGAAATGGGCTTCCATTGATTCTAATTAGGGAAACATTAAATAAGATTTACCCACAGATACTGCACTGTGACTGGGATTGGTTTGGCTCAAACGACCCTGTAGCTGGAGCTAGAGGGAAGAGGATGGAAAGAATATATCTATGAACAAATGTGTGTGTGTTTTTGTGTGTGTATGTAACAGAATTGGGGGCGGAGAGTGTTAGATCAATACACAACTCATCCCCCCAACTCTGTTTCACTCTCTCTTGCTGTTTATCTCTATCTAGCTGTCGCTCTCCCTACTCTTCTTGTCTGTCTTTTACAATCTGTCCATGGCTCTTTTTCTACCTGTCTGTCTTCTCCCAATTTTTTCTTTGCTTATCTGCCTTACTCTTTTCCTCTTTCCCTCTATCCCTCTCTTGCTTTTCTATCCTCTGTTATTATTCCCATGCTTGATTAGTCGGTGGATTAATTTGGAAGCAGGGTATCAGTCTGTTACTAATGGGCCATAGAGATCTCATCACCACATGTCACCATTACCAGCTGAGCTGTTTGGCTTTCAGTATTATCTTTCCCTTCTGTATGTATCAGCGAAGCTTCTTAAAGCAGCAATAAAGAAGACAACATTTTAGGCAACCTGAATCACCAGCTGTAATCACCTTAATGACACCTTGAAGCATCTTCTAAACTGGCTTCAATACATTTCTTATCTTGTGTAATCTTTAGTTGAAATTACTGGAATCAAATCAATTTGTTGGTTGATTGTTGCAGAATTCCACAGAACATTACAAAGCATTGTAATCCTCCTAACTGATCTTGTTTCCATTACACACTTTGATATAAAATGGCAAAATACCCTCAGCTGACTGTCAGTCTGTTTCTTTGCTGTATATATTATCATTATACTGTACAAAATAGGTATTTGAGATTATTAAAAAAAACACGTTTAACATTTTCCATTTGTTTATATTCTTATTTGTATAAAATAATCACACACACACTCTTGTGTGCACACACTTATATATGTTATGTACAAAATGCTGTATGTGTGATATATTTAAACTGGATCTGTGTACCGTATACTATGGAGTATATGAAATGTATTGTGTGTTGACTTAAAGGCTACATGTCTTCCTATTTTATCCTAGTCTAACTGTCATGTCAGCTACTTTTTTTTTCTTCGGACTTGTTTTATGCCATACCTATGTATTATCGAGAAATCCATGTTAAAGGGACTTTGTATATGACCTTTCACTTGTTTGCACCAGATTGGTGTGGACCAGCTTGCGCCCTAATACGGCAAAAATTCACCATCTCTCTGTCTCTGTGTCTTTCTCCTTGTCTGGTGGTCATGTCAGTTGCCTTTGGCTGCCTTGCAGATAACAAAATCGTCTCTCACCTGCTGGTGGCCGAGCCAGAGAAGATTTACGCCATGCCTGACCCGACAGTACCAGACAGCGACATCAAGGCCCTGACTACGCTGTGTGACCTGGCGGACAGAGAGCTGGTGGTCAACATCGGCTGGGCCAAACACATCCCAGGTAGGAAGACAAATCTGCTGAACCCTGACTTTCACTGTAGACCTAACCTGACTCCATGTTGTGACCGGATCAGACACTCATACGTCCATACATACCTTTTTTTCAATTCCAGAGTATAAGAGATTTTGCACATATACAGGATAGACACACATGCTGTGTTTATTGGCAGAGTACACTGTTGGTATCAGCTGCTCCAGATGCAGTTCAGACACGCATCCTACATACACCTGGTGCTAAGGCGTGACCTTTAACCTTAATCCTCGCACTCAGATGGTCTGAACTGTTGACCCGTCCACCTGACCAACCAAATGCCCTCACTGGTATCACACATTCACACACACCCCAAACACACACACATTCTGACCTCTTGAGCCAAACGGTCCAATCCCCTTACATTTGACATGTGGCCATGTGTGTATGGGGATGTTGGTGTGTTGTGAGTCACTGTAACATATATATGACAAAGCCCTTTGAAACTAAGACCATAACTTTGTCGAGTTTTTTAACGTCAAGCGATGTAACTCAAACAGAAAGGAATAGGCAAACAACAAAATGAAATCAAACAATAATAGAGTACATTTGAAATGTCACAATCTGATGATTAAAACAGTACATGTGATATATAAACAGTAAGATTTGTTGTCCATTTAAGCCTATAGCACATGTATGTCACCCTACAGGTCAGCCTAATCTGTTTAAACTAATTCCTCTTAATCTGTTCAAAATTGGATCAGGAGTACAAGATGAGAAAATGAAATAATGGCAGGAAACACAAATGAGCTAAAGATTTTCTGGAAGAATAAGAAAACAAAAGACTGATGACGAATAAATCTGGCGGTGAAAGCCGAAATAAAGACAGGGAGCGAGACGTATGAGATGAAAACTATAATCTGGTTTTGGTTTTAGTGAGGGAGCCTGCTGTGACGGCAGAGAGGAGGGAATAGCGGTGTCTCAGATTAACACAGATTAGCACAAAGATTAGTCCCATTGTGGACTGGAAATATTGTTATAGAAAAGAATAGAATGGAATTACCCCCTGTTGTCAGTGCTAAAACAGTAAAGGGGGTTGTGAGGGTATAGAGGGAAGCACCAGATTAGAGGCATAAATACCACTCAGTCATGCTGCGTAAATCTATAACAATAAAGTCAATGGCGTTAACAGGATCTCCAAATGATATATTTTATATCTCATCAATAAATGTGAAAATAACAGAGAAGAAGAGATGATGAGAGTGAGAGATAAAAGAGAAAGAGAGATGGGAATATACATTGCTTCTTGTTAGTGTATTGATCCACATGCTGCTATATGGACAGTAAGCAGACATATATATTGATCCATATACCAAGTATAGCCCTTTGAATATTTATTTGTCTCTTTCAAAACAACATTCCAGCCTACTATCTCATTTCCTGTAATCTCACTGTCCTGCATTTACTCTTAATGCTTTCTCTTTTAATCCATTTATCTCTCTACCCTATTCTCTCTCTCCTAACCCCTGGGATACACTCAGCGTATATACTGTATAACATACACACACAAAAAGAACTGCCAGACTCATAAAATAAACACAATAACATAGATGTGATGTTTATTTAATGTTTTGTTTTGCATTGGGCTTGACGTTTTCTTTACACACACATTTTACAAGTGAATGGACTGAGTTAGCCAGATTATTTGCTGGGGTGATGTGATGTGATGTGTGTGTGTGTGTGTGTGTGTGTGTGTGTGTGTGTGTGTGTGTGTGTGTGTGTGTTGCTAGTCATGTTTGACACACAGACTCACCCAACCTTAGAGACTTCTGACAACACACATATACACACATATTTCTTTGATTGGTTCTTTTATTCTGAAGCTGTGTGTATGTGTGTGTGCACGCTCATTTCCATACTGATATGGCCTATATGCAAACATTTGATATGTCATTAGGAGAGGAAAATGAGGTTTCAGACCCAGTGTGTGTCTCTGGTTATCCCACAAGGAATGGGACTCCATCACACATGTGCCGCTTACACATGCAGTTGTGTGTGTCGCAGAGATGAAAAGCAGGCAAGCACACATAAACAAGTATTTTAATTCTTTTTGCTGATTCAAACTGCGGGCAACACACATATTGACACATTTAGTAGATAAATATATGAGCAGTAAACTGTCACTCTCGGGGAAACTGTGGGTATCTGGAAATATTATTGGAGTTATTATTCAGAGGGCGTGAAAGGCTTTGGTGTCCAATAATATGGATTAGCGAAGAGAAGATCTCATTGTAATAGCTCTCATAGCCACAACTCAGGTTGCATATTAGGCTGCATGTGTCAGGTGAGAGGAGGCACATATTCAAACAGCAGCGAATGAGAGGGTGAATTAAAAGAAAGAAAGGCCATTCAAACTGTGCCATTTATCTGTCTGTAGAATTAGTCTTTTCATCCCCTCTTTTCTGTTCCTTATTCCTTCACTGTCTCTCTCTTTTTCTCCATAATAACTAAATGACTACCGGGCAGTCATGCCGGCAGCTCTTATCTAGACTTGCCGACACAAAAGAGAAAGACAGACAGGCGAGCACTTGACTTGACGAAAGAGCAAAGAGCGAACAAATGAACGAATCATGGAACGAGAGCCAGAACCTATAACACTGTCGATTTTACCAGAACCAGGGGCCTTGCCATTAGGGTTTTTTTTTTTTTACAACCCCCTCCCCCCTTCATTCTTTCTTTATTCAAGGAAGAAATTGCTCTCAGGCTGCCCCCCACTTCCCCTCAGCTATTCTCTTGCTTCCCTATCTCCTCTTACTTGCTCTTTCTTTTCTTACAGTCTTTTCTCCCTCTCTTTCTTACGTTCCCTTTTCAATTTTGACGCTCAGGATAAGCGGTCTGTGTGTCGGCAGTAACGCAGTATGATTGAGCTGTAAAAAACGGGGGGAAGGGAGGTGAGGGGGGGGGTTGCTCTCTGTCTATTCATTTAATCGGCCTTTATGGAGATATAGGAGAAGGGGTTGGGGTGCTGGTCGGGGTGACGGGATAGTAGGTGGAGAGGGAAGTCCCCTTGTCTCATGTTCTGCATACTTCATCTTTCTCTCTTTTTCATTGGCCTTTTTTATCATGTCTTCTTTCGCTTCCTTTCTCTTACTCCTTGTTTGGATTTGGGAGTGAGCATGAAATACCCAACAGTGAATTAGGATTTAGGTAAACTAAAGTGAATGTTTATAAGAGGCATGGCGAGAGAATGGAGCACAGGGAGGTCACATACATTAGCTCAGTATAACCTGGATACTCCCAAAGAGCCTTTAATACAATACTATTGTGACCCTGTGGCTAAATATCCCCCACCCCTCCAACCTCTTGTGTGACCTCCCTCTTTCTCTCTCTATCTACTACTGGCTCCCCTCATTTTCTCCCCCTCTCTGATCTGACCTCCCACCCTCTCTCCCTCTATGGTATCCTTAACCTCTTCATTATCAAGTCAACCTCACCTCTCAACCCCTCTCCCATTTCACACCTCCCTTCTTCTCTGATCGTCACCATCCTTCTGTCTGTCTGGATCTCTCTGCTGATTAAGCAATTGGGGTTTATTGAGTCCAAGTGTAGCTCTAGATTTAAAAACGGAATTATCGACTCAATCACTTGTATTCAAATATACGTTTTTGTCTATTCACAAAAAAGCCCTTTCTCTTTAAGTCATGGTGTAACTGGGTTTCACTTAGAGATGAAGTCAACCAGTTGAACAGTTGGTCCTTCAGACTGCCAGACAGTCAGTCAGTTAGTTAGCCAATCAGACAGTCAAGTAACTGCACAGCCAGTCAATCAACCAGAAACACAGCCAGTCAGTCAGCAGATATTGATTAATAGAAGTGTCCTGCTCCTTTTAGCAAATCAAATGTTAAGTCTGAGCAGCCAAGGGGAACCTCTACACACACACATGCACATGGATACACACATCCTTGACTCGGAAAGTGCAGCTTTCTAAATGAACACAGACACACATTATAACACTTCAAAATGAACTTGAAGACATACAGAATCGCGCTGTGTGTGGGTGCGTGTGACATAGAGAAATGTAGAATCCCAGACTTGTGATGATGTCACTCTCTGGCCCTCCTTATTAACTCTGGTGTTGTCATCAATCAGCAAAGAGGTTTGTTTGGCTTTGGGTAGTAAATCAGATGAGAAACATCTCTCCAGCACCACTCACACAAACAAACACACACATTTTATTATTTTCCGATTGCTAAGTCAATGAGTTTTATTGCCATGAAACTTCTGATACAATATTTCATACTCCTTTCCTTATTGCTGTCCTTCCTCTGTGGTCTTTCTGTCTCACAGTGCCATTAGTCTCTATAATAAAATGACTGGTCTAGGTACACTGGTGCGTGTAAACACATGAAAACCGCTACACGGAAATACACATGGACACACAGATACACACACAAACGCACTAGCAGATTTGCCCCCATTCTGTCGTCCAAGCCTAGTTCACCTTGACAGTCACAGCATGCTGGGTGCCGTCTTAAAACACAAACACTGCACGCAAATATACAGTCCATTCACATAGACATTCAGCACAGTGTAAATGCAACAAAAAAAACAGGCAGTGTTCAGGCATAGACATAAACACAAGTTTGTTAAGGCAAAACAAGCATAAGGGAACAAATAAAACAATGTTTCAAAAGATAAGTGAGGGTATAACATTAAAAAAAGCACATAACACCATGTGTATTTAGTAAAACGTCATTTCAGGTAAAGATATAGATAGTCTGTCGTTGTAGTGAAATAACTGATCTGCACTTTCGAGATTCAACTCATAAATATTACAAACATTATTATGAACTTTCAGAATCTGATTTAGTTCATTGCTTCATTCAAGTGAGTTTCTTTGTGCTCTCTAGTACATATCTTCCTGTTTGTGTTTCCAGTTGCTGTTGATTTTCTCTGAGATCTGTTGGGTGTGTTTGATTTCCATTTCAGCTCATCCCTGAGCTACATAATATATTTAGAGGTTGATGTCG